GCTTCCGGCCTCGCGAGGAGGAGGCGCTGCTAGGTGAAGTGGTGCGCGCAGCGGCGTCCGGCGCCGGGGACCTGCCGCCCCTCGGGCCCGCCACGCTGCTGGCGCTGTGCGTGCAACACTCGGCCCGGGAGCTGGAGCTCGGCCACCTGCCACGCCTACTGGGCCGCCTGGCCAGGCTCATCAAGGAGGCTGTCTGGGTGAGCGCCCCCAAATCTATCCCGCAGCCTCTCCCCGTTCCCATCCATCCACCCATCCATCCCATCCACCCACCCACCCACCCATCCATCCATCCATCCATCCATCCATCCATCCATCCATCCATCCATCCATCCATCCGTTTCAGACCTGGGCAAATATAAACTACATCTCCCATGAAGCCTTGCGGGAGAAGGAGGCTTGAGGTATGAATGAGGAGGCCGCGTAGAATGCTGGGAGTTGTGGTTTTGTTGGGCGGGAAGGCAGTCCAGTATTTACCTTTGGCGCTATGGGGGTGGTGTCATACGGTCATGGAAGAAACCGTTATGGGAAGCAGAGGGAGATACCTCCGGCTGAGAAGTTGGGAGAGATCATTTATGAGAAGAGCCATGGGCCACCTTTGAGAGTTTGGAATGATAGTGGGCAAGGACATTCTTGGGGGATAGATAAATCCATTAGAACTACACTAGGAATTGCCTGGAAGAAGTAATTCAGAATTGGGAGAGGGGGACGTTCCATTGAGTTGGGGCCCAGTTTTAAAAAAAAAGGTTTAGGGAGTCTCTTCCAGGTAAGAGACTATTTAAACTGGAGAGAGGACTCCAGGGAAATAGACCACATGGGCTGTGTGTTTTAAAAAGAAGAAAGGGGAGAGAGCTTTCTGAAGCACGATTGCTACAGTGCATTGGAAAAACCAGATAGATTCTGGATGGTAGTTCACACCTGTAATCCCAGCATTCGAGAGGCTGAGACCAGAGGATCATGGTATGCCAGGCAAGCCTGGGATTCCCAGTGACACCTTGTCAAAAAGGAAGGAGGGCTGGGCAGCAGTGGTTCATGCCTGTAATCCTAGCAACTCAGGAAGCTGAGATCTGAGGATCACAGTTCAAAGCCAGTCCAGGAAGGAAAGTCCATGAGACTCTTATCTCCAATAAACTGCTCAATGCTGGAAGTGACACTGTAGCTAAGAGGTAGAGTACTAGCCTTGAACACAAAAAAATCTCCAGGGCTGTGAGGTGGCTCAGTGATAGAGTGCTTGCCTTGCATGCATGAGGCCCTAGGTTCGATTCCTCAGCACCACATAAGCAGAAAAGGCTGGAAGTGGCACTGTGGCTCAAGTGGTAGAGCACTAGCCTTGAGCTGAAGAGCTGAGGGACAGTGTCCAGGCCCAGAATTCAAGCCCCACGACCAATCAAAAAACAAAACAAAACAAAACAAAAAATCTCCAGGGCAGCACCCAGGCCCTGACCAAAAAAAAAAAAAAAAAAAGAAGAAGAAGGAAGAAAGGAATGGAAGGAGGGAAAAGAGAAGACGAATGTTAATTCTTGGTTCCCTTTGCCTGAGCCTCTCACCCTGATTCTGATCTTACTTACCACAGGAAAAGATTAAGGAAATTGGAGACCGTCAGCCAGAGAAGTAAGAGAACTGGGGAGAAAGTTCTGGTGGGCTGTGGGGTTGGGCGGCGCATCAAATTCTGCATTGCTGCAAATCTTCTAGGATGCAAGTTTCTGTGCATCATTGGGATCTGGCCTTCTCAGCTGTGAAGTGGGGCTTAGTCTCCAGCTTTGACACACATCTTGGGGTTTGGACACTAGGGGGGTGGTTGGGTAGGGAATCACAAGTTCTTTTCATTTTCTGCAGCCATCCTGAAGGGGTCCCGGAAGTGCCTCTGACTCCTGAAGCCGTGTCTGTGGAGTTGCGGCCACTCATGCTGTGGATGGCCAACACCACAGAGCTGCTGAGCTTTGTACAAGAGAAGGTGCTGGAAATGGAGAAGGAGGCTGATCAGGAGGGTGAGCTCAGACGTAGGCTGAGCCTGGCCTGTCCAAACCCCCTGTCATTCCCTAAACCTGGAGAATTGGTGTGCTGTCTGCCAGCCTGTGCTTTCTCCCTCTTACCCCCAGGCCTGTCCTCAGACCCACAGCTCTGCAATGACTTGGAATTGTGTGATGAGGCCATGGCCCTTTTGGATGAGGTCATCATGTGTACCTTCCAGCAGTCAGTCTACTACCTCACCAAGGTTGGCCTCAACCCCTTGCCTCCTAAAAGTGCTTTCCATGTGTGAGCTACATTGTGTTGGTCTGAGGTCACTTCCTATTTGATTCAAAATTTCCTCCTTCTGACACATCGCTTCCCATCTCACCCCAGCTGTTTATTGTGGTGATACTACTTCCTGATTGAACTTACATCATTTCTGGCCTTTCTTCCCATCTTTGAAATCATCACTTTTTTTTTTTTTTTTTTTTTTGCCAGTCTTGGGGCTTGGAATCACAGCCTGGGTGCTGTCCCTGAGTTTTTTCACTCAAGGCAGGTGCTCTACCACTTTGAACCACAGTTCCACTTCTGATTTTCTAATAGTTAATCGGAGACAAGAGTCTCATGGGGGCTAGGAAGGTGGCTCAGTGGTAGAGCGCTTGCCTTGCATGCATGAGGCCCTGGGTTTGATTCCCCAGCACCACATAAGCAAAAAGAAAAAAGCCAGAAGTGGTGCTGTGGCTCTAATGGTAGAGCGCTAGCCTTGAGCTGAAGAGCTGAGGGACAGTGCCCAGGCCCAGAGTTCAGGCCCCACAACCGGACCCAAAAAAGAGTCTCATGGACTTTCCTGCCCTGGCTAGCTTTGAATCATGATCCTCAGATCTCAGTCTCCTGAGTAGCTAGGAGTACAGACCTTGTTCCTTTTTATGAAAGTACTGGGGAGTAAACTCAGAGTGCACCTGCCAGGCAAGGTGCTCTACTACCTGAGTCATCCCTCCAATCCTTTTTGATTTCGTTTTTACATATAGAGTCTCACCTTTTTTTCCAAGGCCAGCTTAGACTATGATACTCCTACCTACATCTCCCAGGTGGCTGGGATGACAGGCAGGAATCACCACACCCAGTTTATTGGTTGAGATGGAGATCTGGCCAACTTTTCATTTGAGCAGGCTTAATCTCCACCTAAGAAATGGCTGAGCTTGCTGGGTGCTGGTGGCTCACGCCTGTAATCCTAGCTACACAGGAGGCTGAGATCTGAGGATCACATTTCAAAGCCAGTCTGGGCAGAAAAGTCTATGAGACTCTGATCTTCAATAAACCACTAGAAAACCGGAAATGGTGCTGTGGCTCAAGAGGTAGAGTGCTCACCTTGAGCTGAAGAGGACGGGACAGCGCCCAAGCCCAGAATTACAAGCCCTATGACCGACAAAAAAAAAAAAGAAAAAGAAGAAAAAAAAGAAATGGCTGAGCTTACAGACTTGAGCCACTGCATTTAGCTGAATCCCCACATTTTCTGCTTGCTTTGTTGAGGCACTGGGATTTTAACACAGGATCTTATGCTTGCTAGGCAAGCACTTTACCACTTGAGCCATCTTGGCTCCCAGTCATCACTGGTGTACAGGCTGACCACAGACCTAGTTGTTTTCTTTTCACAAGCTCTTGTTTTCAAATTCTATCTTTTTTTTTTTTTTGTCGGTCGTGGGGCTTGAACTCTGGGCCTGGGCGCTGTCCCTCAGCTCTTCAGCTCACGGCTAGCATTCTACCACTTGAGCTACAGCGACACTTCTGGTTTTCTAGTGGTTTATTGGGGATAGGAGTCTCATGGTCTTTCCTGCCCGGGCTGGCTTTAAACCGAGATCCTCAGATCTCGGCCTCCTGAGTAGCTAGGATTACAGGCGTGAGCCACCGGCACCCGGCTAAATTCTACTACTTAGTTATAGATAGACAATCAAACTGTGCCAAGCAGTATCATTTAAACAAAGCCTCCCTTAAGCGAGTCTCTCTCACTTCCTGTGCTTAATGACATCACTTCCTATAGCACTGAAATCATGAGCTTTCCTGAGCCATAGGCCTTTTTTTTCCCCCCTCTGAGTGCCATTCATGAAGGGCTTGCTACTCTGCCACTCACATGCTCCTTTGACCTCTATAATTGTTTCCAGCGCTTCTCAAGGTTTTGGCTCATGGTGGGCCTGATTCCCTATTAGTGAAATAACAGGGAGTCTTAAGACAGTCTCTCCATCCCTCAAGCAGCCTTGATTTTGAAGCTCTTTCCTCCGAGCTATACTTCCTGTGCATCCTTGCCAAGTGTAGTTTTCTTTCTTCTTTGTCTCTGACCTCATTTCCTGTCCTTGGCTGGATCACATTTTCCACTGGCTGACTGCCATCCCACTCCTACTTCCTGATTCTCCATTCCTTTTTTTCCCATGGGGAATTCTAGATAAATAACTTATTTAGATGTAGGAAGCCTCTTTTTTCTAGTTCCCCTTGTCTTTCTCTTCTTTTTTCTTTTTTTGCTGGTCCTAGGGCTTGAACTGAGGATCTCTGTGCTGTCCCTGAGCTTCTTCTGCGCAAAGCTAGTGCTCTACTACTTGAACCACAGCGTTACTTCTAGGCCTTTTCTGAGTAGTTTATTGGAGATGAGAGTTTCACAGACTTTACTGCCTGGCTGGCTTTGAACCATGATCCTCAGATCTGTTTCCTGAATAGCTAGGATTATAAGTGTGAGCTACTGGTACCTAGCTCTCCTTGACTTTCTTAAGCTGCTTCTTCTGAGACCTACAAGTCCCATAATGCACTAGAGTTGGATAGACTTTGAAATACTCAAAAAACTTCTAGAAAGGCTTTGTTAAGACTGGAGTTGTTCTGGGACTAAAATATGCTAGAAAGTCATCTATAAAGCAGGAATTTGTTTGTTGAGCACTTAATCCTAGCCACTTGGGAGGCTAAGATCTGAGGATCAGTGTTTTGAGCCAGTCTGTACAGGAAAGTCCTTGACTCTTGTCTCTGATTATATACAAAGAAGCTAGAAGTAGAGCTGTGGCTCAAGTGGTAGAGTACTAGCCTTGAGAAAGAACCTCAGGTATGGTGCTGAGGCCTTGAGTTCAAACCCCAGGGCCATGGGCTGGGAAGTTGGCTCAGTGGTAGAGTGCTTGCCTTGCATGCATGAGACCCTGGGTTTGATTCCTCAGCACCACATAAGCAGAAAAAGCCAGAAGTGGTGCTGTGGCTCAAGTGGTAGAGCACTGGCCTTGAGCTGAAGAGCTGAGGGACAGCGCCCAGGCCGAGTTCAAACCCCACAACTGACTAAAAAAACAAAAACAAAAGCCCAGGGCCAATATGCGTGCGCACACGCGTACACACACACACACACACACACACACACACACACACACACACACACAGAGCATTTGTTGATGGAATCCCTTCAAGTGTTAAAGGTAGAATGGACTACAACTCCCAGAGGCCCTTGGTGTTCTTCATTATCATCATGCTCTGTCACCCTGAAGCTTGCTGGGAGTTGTGGTCCAATCACTTGGCTTTTGCCTGTCTCTCCACAGACTCTTTATTCCACACTGCCTGCTCTCCTGGACAGTAACCCTTTCACAGCTGGGGCAGAGCTACCTGGTCCTGGTGCAGAGTTGGAGGCCATGCCTCCTGGCCTGAGACCCACCCTGGGTGTGTTCCAAGCAGCTCTGGAGTTGACCAGCCAGTGTGAGCTGCACCCGGACCTTGTGTCTCAGACATTCGGCTACTTGTTCTTCTTCTCCAATGCATCCCTTCTCAACTCACTGATGGAACGAGGTGAGGGTTGGCTGATGAGCAGGGACTCCCATCAAGGTAGACATACCACAGGCCCAGGCCTGTGCACCCAGGGTGCTCTTGGGTACCAAGCTCAAGGATAGAAAGGAAGAGGGTTCACTCAACCATTGCCCTTCACACCCTTCCTTCCCAGGTCAGAGCCGACCTTTCTACCAGTGGTCCCGAGCTGTCCAAATCAGAACCAACTTGGATCTTGTCTTGGACTGGCTACAAGGAGCTGGACTAGGTGACATTGCCGCTGAATTCTTCAGGAAACTCTCCATTGCTGTGAACCTGCTCTGTGTGCCCCGCACCTCCCTGCTCAAGGTGACTTCTGGTTAGCTCTAGTTGACCCTTGACCTCTAACCTTCCATCCCAGTCAGCAACTCTCTGGAATCCCTTTACTGTTGGAGTTCCCCTGGAACCCCATGTCATCCTCTACTGACCACAGACTTCTCTCTGGTCCTCTCTGCAGGCTTCTTGGAGCAGTCTGAGAACTGACTATCCAACTCTGACCCCTGCTCAGCTCCACCATCTGCTTAGCCACTACCAGCTGGGTCCTGGCCGCGGGCCTCCACCCTCCTGGGACCCTCCCCCTGCCGAGAGAGATGCTGTGGATACGGGTGAGGAGAAATGGCACACACATTGCAGCAGTTTGTTGGCTGTTTGCATTCATAAGAATCTAGGAGACCATGTTCCAGCCTTTTCCTTCTGACCAAGGAGTCTGGTCTCCTAAGCCTTTTCTTTTCCTTGGGTCTGAAAGTGCTAGACCCTGCTCCCTTCTCCCCAAGATATAAGCCAGGCATCGGGGATCATGTGTGACTCAGTGGTAGAGTTCCTGCCTAGCATGCATAAGGCCCCAAGTTTCATCCTAGCAAAGCAAGTACAAGCTCTTAGTTACTTTTTTTTTTCCTTCAGGGTTCAGCCCCTGCCCTGGCCCCCTTTCCCTCTACACCCCCTGGCCTACCTTGCCTAAGAGACCCTGGGCGTGTCCTCCTACAGGAATCCCTAAGACTCAGTTCCCAGGCCTTCTCCAGGGATCTAGGTATCCAATGCCTGTTTCCCAGGCAACAGAGGTTAGTCTCAAATACAACTCCCATCATGCTCTTGGACATCTGGTTTGAGTGGATCCTTCTCCAGGAGTTGCTGGGAACTAAAGCTTTTTTGTTTGTTTGTTTCTTCCGTCGGGCGAGATATAGCTCCTGTTGCCACCCTAACTACCTCTTATTGGGTTTCACAGGAGACATTTTCGAAAGCTTCTCCTCGCACCCGCCCCTCATCCTGCCCCTGGGCAGCTCGCGTCTGCGCCTCACCGGTCCAGTGACAGATGACGCCCTGCATCGTGAACTGCGCAGGCTCCGTCGCCTTCTCTGGGACCTTGAGCAGCAGGAGCTTCCAGCCAATCACCGCCACGGGCCTCCGGTGGCCACGCCTCCTTGAAAACCAATAATACGCGAGCGTGCGAACCTTGAAAGGAAAAAGGAAAGATTCTTTGGGCTCTTACTCCTTTGGAGCCCCGCCTGGTCGCAGAGGTTTCTGGGAGTTGTAGTTCTTGCCTCCCGCGTGGACCACTGGGAGTTGGAGTTTTCGGGTAGTAGAGGATGGGACTGCGGGAAGATGGGCTTGAGATGTCAGCCGCGCCGAGGAGCAATAAAAGTATCTGTTATTGGCAGCGCCTCGCTTATTAAGACTCGGGAGAGTGAACCATGATTGTTTTTAGAGTACCGAGGCCCCTTGCCTGGAACCAGCGTTGGGTCCCTGCCGAGTCGGAGGAGGTATTTATAGTTATGGCCTCAGCCTGTCCTTCTGCGTGTAATTCAACCCAGGAGCCCAGGGCCCACCACACACCTCGGATCAGAGCCCAAAGCGTGCTCGGCCCGATGCCAGGCCCTGGTTCCTGCCAGTGAGGCCTCGTCAGCTCTCCTCCTCACCCCTCCAAAACCCCTGCTCCAGCCCCAGGAATCAGGGGCTCCTAGACCCGCCCCCCTAAGTTGTTTGCCAGCTGATCACATGACAGAACCCCAACATCTTGATGTCCTTAGCCGCTCCCCAGCAGATCTAGGTATCCACACACATACACACACACACCTCAAAAAAGAAAAAAAACCACCTCCCTTCTTAGACTCAGGCCTCAGAGTTTGAACTTTCCCCTCCTCTCAACCTAATTCCCGCTGCTGCGTCAGGGGAAAAAAGGTGACAGGTGGCACCTGCTGGCAGGGCGAGGGCAGGACCACCTGCCGCTGCTGCTCACTGGAGGCCCCTCTCCCGACACCTGCTCCTGTCTGTCTGCCTTGCCCCACCCGACCCCGCCGCCCCACGACGAGGAGGAGGGACAAACCAGGGAACCCCAACAGTTGGCCCCGCCCTGAGACCGTCCCAGCCTGGGTCTCCCACCCCTTCTCAGGGTCGCAGGCCTGGCTCTAGTCTTCCCTGCTCTACCAGCTCCAGGCACGCCCCAGAGAGGCGGAGAGGTGGGGGGGGGGGTCCAGGGCTGTCCCTAGTCCGGCAGGGCGGAGCCTGAGGTCTTCAGCTCAGACCGTCAGACTCCACCCGCCGAGGAGCACAGCTGCACCGAACCCACCTGGTGAGAAGCCCCCCGGGATGGAGGGAGGGACCCTCCTCAACTGTTCTGTCACTGCTCTGATCCTCATCCCTTTCCCACGCACCCTGGTGGCGCTCACTAGCTCGTTCCCTCCTCGGATGCCTATCCTCATAGGGACCTAGCCATTCCCCAGAGACCTGCCCCCAACTTTCTTCCCTCTAGTCCAGATCTTAGATTCCAGTCCCTTGGTAGAGTCAGCCCTTCACCTCCTTTTGCAAGGCGTAGGGGGGGGAGGTCCCCTTTCAAAGACTCAGGGACTCAACCTCCCACCCAGTGCCCTACACAATGGGACCCAGGAACCCCAGACCCTAGTCCTCCCTCTACTAAGATCCAGAAGTTGGGGCTCCCATTCCCCTTTTTCCCTTAGACCTAGAAGTCCAGACCCCAGCCCTCCCTCAGACCCAGGGGTCCAGGCCTTCTCTTTTGGATATAGGACCTGAGCCCCCCACAGCCCTCCACAGTTCTTGCAGAAAATCACCCAGGATGCACCTCTCACCAACCCTATGAACTCTTTCCTGAGTTCATGCAGGGGAGCAGCCTCGGACCTCCCCCCCCAACTCCCAACCCTCTGTGGGGGTCCTGCCTTTATTCCAGCTCAGGTCCCATCCCACACTTGGCAATGACCCTGGCGGCTTCCTCCCAGCGCTCCCAAATCATCCGCTCCAAGTTCCGATCTGGTGAGAGAGAGGTGGCCTGTGGGGAGGGATCCTGGGGATGTAGTCTCGTGTTTTCTGAAGGTCACTCGTGCATAGCGGAGGATGGGGTGGGCCACAGTGGGAAACTAGGTAAGCAAGCGAGGGGTGGGCATGGGAGTCAGGGCCTTCAAAGGACCAACTAGCTGGTTGAAGGACCAACTAGCAGACCAACTATCAGGAAAGTAGAGGAGTATTGAGTTGGGGCCTGGGAGGCCCAGTATGGGAATGGGGGGTGAGGGGATAGGGAGCTCTCAAGCTCACTTGAGCTTTTGTTTTAGTTCAGGGCAGGCACTCAGTGGATGAATGACTAGACTAGGCGTTCATTCCTGAGCAAAGGACACTCAAAAAAGTTTGCAGACCCAGCCAAGGTGGCTGGTCAGAGCCAAGAGCAGGGTTGGAAAGTGTGCCAAAGAGAGTACAAATTGTCTGAGCATGGTGGTGCCCACCTGTAATCCCAGCTACTGGAGAGGTCTGGAACTTCAAAGTCAGCCTAGGCTGAATAGATGGTTACAACAGAGGGGCTGGGAGTGTGGCTCAAGAGGTAGAGCTGGCCTGCCTAGCATTCAGAGGCCCTGGGTGAAAAAATTAAAAACGAATACTTCGAAGGTGAATATTGGGTGGAGGGCGGGGGAGGGGGGTAAGGAGGGGTGGGGAGAGGACTGGGAAGGGCCAGAGAAAATGCTGGAGTATGCAATTGTGGGGTGAGTGTGCATTGGACTAAAGGAGGCCATATGTAAACTGGGCCAAGATGCTAAGATGATCAGTATGCCAGGTTGGGGTGGGCACAGAAGGGGCAGGTGCAGGCGTGGGGGGGATGGGGTGCCGGGCTCCGTTGCAGCCTTCGTGCTGGCTTGGCTCTGAGCAGCTCTGGCCTGAGGCTCTGAGCTTGGCTGGAAGCAGGCTGGAGGCCCCGGGAAGGGAGCTGGGGAGCAGCAAACGGGCTGCCCGCCCACCCGCCTGCTGCACGGGGTGTGTAAGGGGCCGGGCACACATCCCGCCAACAACTGTAGCTCCCAACCGCCCAGCTCAGCCAGACTCCTGGACACTCCCTTCCCTCCCCTCCCCTGCTCCCTGCTCCCTCCTCCTTCCACAGTTCTGCAGCTTCGGATCCACAGACGGAATCAGGACCCAAGTAAGTTGGGGGCTCTGGGAGGGAGGGGTGGTGGCCTCACTCCCCTAGGACAGACATCCTGGGTGTCTTCCCCCCCTCAGACAGTTCCCCTCCCCCATCCTTGGATGCTTGGTCCATCTGTTCGGAGCTGGGCTGACTGAAATCCCAGCCTGACACCCCAAAAGATGGCAAGAGTCTGCACCAACCGCCCATCCTTTTTTGCCTTTGGATCTCTACTTCCTGCTGCCCAACATTTCCTACCCTTGACAGATGCACAAGCCGGGGAGATGGTTTCTTGGCTTGGAGATAGGCATCCCAGATTCCACGCACACTCGGCACCCTCAAAAAGTACCAGGATGTGGCTCTCTGCTTCTCCTTCTCTGCCAGAACCAGGAGTGCAGGCCCCACCCCACCCTGGGCCAAAGCTGCACTCTGTGATCCTCCTCACACGCCCCTTGTTCACTCAGGACCAGATTCCTGCTTTTTCTTTTCTTCCTGGTACTGAGGATTGAACTCAGGGCCTCAGGCTTGCCTACCAAGGGTCTTCATTACTCTAGTCACTCCCCTAGCCCCCAAACTCAGAGCCGGGGCACTGTCCCTTAGATTTTTTTTTTGGAGAGGGGGGGACTTGAACTCTGGGCCTGGGTGCTGTCCCTCAGCTCTTCAGTTCAAGGTGAGCGCTCTACCGCTTGAGCCACAGTGCCTCTTCTGGTTTCTGGAGATTAGAGTCTCATGGATGTTCCTGCCCAGGCTGGCTTTGAACAGCGATCCTTAGATCTCAGCCTCCTGAGTAGCTAGGATTACAGGAGGGAGCCACCAGTACCCAGCTTGTCCCTTAGCTTTTTCACTCAAGGATGGTGCTCTCCTACTTGAGCCACAGCTCCACTTCCAGCTTTTTGGTGGATACTTGGAAGTAAGATTGTTTCACAAACTTTTTGATCCAGGTTAGCTTTGAACCTCATCTTCAGATCTTAGTCTCTTGAGTAGTTAGGATGACAGACGTGAGCCACAGTGCTCAGCTGTATTCTGTTTTAGACACAGGGTCCTGCTAACTTTGCTTAGGTGGCACTGGCATCAAATTCAGGATCCTCCTACCTCTCCATCCCAAGCTGGGATTGTAGGACAGAGCTACCATGCCTGATACCTTCAGAGGGAGACTAGGCTCAACTTGAGCCCCTTGGATTTTGATCCCAGCCTGCTTGCCTGTATTTTGGGGGTGGGGTGTCAGGCCCTCCTTTCCCATGGTCTTGTTCCTCCCTGTCTGGCTTCTTTCCTGCAAGCCCCTCAGGGTCCTTCTTCTGTCTCCAGTCTCCTCCAATTCAGATCCCTGGATCTCAGCCTCAGGCTCAGCTCTGGCCCCAGCCTTGCCCTCCGTCCCTGCCTCTTTCTTCTTCAGTCCTGGGGTTCTGCTTCCTGAACCAGAATATTGTCCTTGGAGATCCTCAGAGAAGGTGAGTCTGGACTGGAGAGAGCACAAGTCCTCTTAAGAGTCTAGTCCCGATCCTCTTGCTGCTTCCACTTTCCCCTGTCTGGTGTGGCCACCAGAGTCCACACTTGGCCCAGGGCTCCAGGACAGGAAGGTATAAACCACCCACAACATCATCACATTGGCTTTTGCAGGACTCTCCCAAGGTCTCCCAGCGCTGGAGGGAGCCCACATCCAGGGGAAACCTGACATACCACCAGTACATGCCCCCAGAGCCCAGACAAGGGCCTAGGGCCGACCCCCAAGTGGAGGGGAAGGCCCTGGGCTCCCCAAGGCCACCTCTGAAGATGGGACCAAGCTCACAGCCATCATATCCCAAGTATGATCTTCATTTTACTCTTAGGGTTCCATCATCCCCTTGCCTCAAATCCAAAACCAAAGGGAGCCTGGTCTCCATTGTCTCCTCACCAGACCCGTCCTGTCCTCAGCCTTCTCCCTTGAAACCACAAGTTCCCATCGCCCAAGCGTGTGTTTGCTTCCTCTGAAAGCTAGAACCCGTGTCTGAGGACCCCAACATGCCTTTTATCTCTGTCTCCCCCCTCCTTTTTTTTGTGCCAGTACTGGGGCTTGAACTCAGGGTCTCAGGCTCTTGGTCAGCTTTTTCTGCTCAAGGCTGATGCTCTACCCCTTAAGCCACAGCTCCCCTTTTTTTTCTTTTGCTGGTTTATTGGAGGTAAAAGTCTCAAGGGCTTTCCTGCCCGGGCTGGCTTTGAACAGCCATCCTCAGATCTCACTGTCCTCCAGGGCGGCTGGGATTACAGGGGTGAGGCTCCAGCTCTGGCCCCCTTTAACCTTCGCCCCCTCCCGCTGTGGACAGGACGAAGCCCCCGACCCCGGCCCCCTCCCCACCCGGGATCTCTGGTCCTCCGCCTCCGTCGCACAAACTGGAACTTCAGACCCTCAAACTCGAAGAGCTGACGGTGAGTTCGGGGTGTCGCTTCCAGGTCCCGAATTCTAACCCTGCAGCCTCCAGTGTCGGGGGTCCCCCCGCAGGTCCCTTCCTTTTGCAGGGCCCCAGGGGTCCAGACCCTTCCTCCCTCGGTTTCCAAAGGCCCCGCCTCGGGGACCCCGCCCAGGACCGCTCTCCCCGCCCCCCGCCCGCCCCCTCAGGTCTCCGAGCTCCGGCAGCAGCTGCGCCTGCGGGGCCTCCCGGTGTCCGGGACCAAGTCGATGCTCTTGGAGCGCATGCGCGGCGGCGCCCCGCCCCGCGAGCGGCCGAAGCCAAAGCGCGAGGACAAAGCCGCGGCGGCGGCGGCCGCAGCTCCCTGGCCCCGCCTCAGGCCCAAGGCCCTGGGAACTGCTCGCCGGCAGGGCACGGTAAGGGGGTGTGGCATACACGTATGACCGACCAATGAAGATAAGCTACAGCGGGAGGGGCGGGATGTGAAGGAACGAATAGCCAATGAAGTGTGGGGGCGGGGTCTCCACCCAAGGACCTGCGAGTGAGAGGCGTGGCTAAAAGCTATGGAGGCGGATCTTATCGGAAGAACAGCCAATGAAATGGAAGAGAGGCGGGGTCTATCAGTATAGGTCTGGGACAGGACCGGTTGCGAGTGGGTGGGGTTGCTACCGGGGCGTGGCTTGTTGGACGGGGCGTGGCTTATGGGACTGGCCCTCTTCACGGTTGTAGATTAAGTCAAGTCCTGCGTTCCACAAGCCGCCTCTTCCACGCGTGGCGGATACAGTGGTGACAGTTCCGGCTCCGGCTTCGGCTCCGGCTCCAGCCCTGGTCCCAGCTCCGACTCCAGCGACGGCCCCGGCTCCAGCCCAAGCCCCGGGCTTGACAACTTCCTCAGCCCCAGCCCCAACGGGTCTGACTCTGGAGGAGGAGCTGCAGGAAGCGATCCGGAGGGCTCAGGTGAGCGCGTGCGGGATGGAGTCAAGCTGAGGGTCCCCGCTCAGTTCCCGGCAGGGATCTGGGGTTCACGCTACCGTCCATTGTTTTCTTCTCTCTTTCTCTCCCCCCCCCCTCCAGCTGCTTCCGAACCGAAGCATCGATGACATTCTAGGAGATCAGACGGCGCCTGAGGGTAGGAACTGAATCCCTCGATGATTTAGGGGAGAAGGGAGCCTGAAGCCCTGGACTTCTGGGTGCAAGGGAGGAGTGGATGGGGTTCAGGACCTCTAGAAATGAGGAATCAGGCACCGGGAACCAGACCCGCAATGCCAGAAGCTCTCTTTCATCTGCAGACTCGCTGCCGCCCATCCCCCTGGACTTCCCGGGCTCCTTCGATGTACTGTCCCCTTCCCCGGACTCCGAAGGCCTGTCATCGGTCTTCTCATCTTCCCTCCCATCCCCCACCAACTCTTCATCCCCCTCTCCCGGGGGCCCCACGGATTCCTTGGACTGGCTGGAGGCCCTGAGTGGGGGTCCACCGTTGGGCTCTGGCCCCCCAGCCCCCAGCATCTTCTCTGCTGATCTCTCAGACTCCAGTGTCACCCGGCTGTGGGACCTGCTAGAAGATCCGTGGTGATGGAGTTGGTGATTTCCAGAGACCAACAATGGGTGGGGTCGAGCAGAGCCCCTCAGGGAGACCCCTCCCCCTCACCCCCCAATCCCTACTTGGCCCTGAACTGGTGCTCTACAAGCCACCTGCCTGGACTTCACCTGCTTGGCTTCTGTGTACCCCCCCCTTCCACCTTTCCCCATGGTTGTATGGTTGGGGATGAGGGTTTTATTTGCTGCTCACCAGGGGCAACATGCTGCTTCCTTCAGAAATATCAGGATGTTTTTGCCCCCTTCCTTCCAGACACACTGGATGGTTGCCTGCTCTCTGTGGGGGGATGGGAGGAATCTGGAAGGTGATTATGTTGTATGGATAGGATCAGAGAGGATCAGGGAAGAGCCAGAAAGGATTTAGAGGGGAATGAGACTCTGGAGTTGAAGTTGCAGGTACAAGAGAGACTCACCAAATAGCTCAGGCTGGGCTAGAACTCATAATCCACCTGCCTAGGCCTCCCCCGTGCTGGGATCACAGGCAAGCACCACTAGGTTTGACTTAAACCAGATGATCAGAGTTCATAGCCTGTGTCCTCAGAGTGGAGAAAATAAAAAAGAGAACCTTAGTAGCTGCTCTTGAGGAGCTCAAAAGGTTTACAAGGATCAGATTGGTATTTTTGAGAACCGTGGTGCTCCTGGACAAGATTCAGCAAGGGCCGTGACTCTTCATAAAGACAAAAGGCCAGAAGGCATGCCATCCGGGATCTGAGAAGCATTTTCACTGAGCCTCAAGGATAAAGAGGCCTTGGCCACTGTAACAACATGGAAGACTGTATCTTCCTAGGTGGAAGAGCTTGCCTGGAGGGGCAGAGGACGCAGGGCCACCAGAGGGAGCTTGTGTGATCAGGATTGCTGGGGGAGAGGTGGGGGGGAGGCACTGGGGCCGTGATCCGATATCAGGATGAAAGCTGATGGTGAAAAGGGCAGCAGCAAAGCCGGGCGCTGGTGGCTCATGCCTGTAATCCTAGCTACTCAGGAGGCTGAGATCTGAGGATCGCGGTTCAAAGCCAGCCCGGGCAGGAGAGACCGTGAGACTCCTATCTCCAATAAACCACCAGAAAACCGGAAGTGGCGCTGTAGCTCAAGTGGTAGAGTGCTAGCCTTGAGCTGAAGAGCTGAGGGACAGCGCCCAGGCCCAGAGTTCAAGCCCCACAACCGACAAAAAAAAAAAAAAAAGGGCAGCAGCAGGGTGCCGGTGGCTCATACCTGTCATCCTAGCTACTCAGGAGGCTGAGATATGAGGATCATGGTTCAAAGCCAGCCTGGGCAGAAAAGTCTGTGAAACTCATATCTCCAATAAACCACCAGAAAACCAGAAGTGGCACTGTGGCTCAAGGGGTAGAGTGCTTGCCTTAAGCTGATAGAGCTGAGGGACAGGACCCAGGCTCAGAGTTCAAACCCCACAACTGACAAAAAAAAAAGAGGCAGTAGCCCTGCAAGTATTGAGAAGGTGGTCCTCTTGTCCATCTCCATTTTTCCCTGATGATTTTTTCTATGTCTAATCAGTCTGTCACCATCTAAGTGCCTGTTTGTGCACGTGTCTCCCTGTCTGGGTTCTACCCTCTGCCTCCCTTGTTCTCCACAAAACTCCTGTCTCTGATTTGTCCTGTGCCCATTCCCTCCTCTACCCTAACTAGCATGCTTTGTAGTTCCTGGTGTGTCTCAAGGAAACTGGACACCCACTTTTTAGCTGGGTTCCCCACCCATTCTCCTATTGCTCCTGGGTCTGTCTGGAGAAGGGCAGTCTTGGGGTGAGAGCACACTTAGGGTTCTACTAGGCCAGCCACTGGACAGCACATACACACACCAAGAGTCAGGACCAGGGGCAGAGAAGGGATTCTCCAGAAAGTCGAGATTCAGAATGTTAGAGCAGGATTGGGTGGGAGCTCAGGTATGAGCCCAGTGTGAGAGAAGCTCTTGGGCCTGACACTTTCAGTAAATATTTCTTTTCTTTTTTTTTGTCAGTCATGGGGTCTGAACTCTGGGCCTAGGCGCTGCCCCTCAGCTCTTCAGCTCAAGGCTAGCACTCTACCACTTGAGCCACAGCGCCACTTCCAGGTTTTTCTGCTTATGTGGTGCTGAGGAATGGAACCCAGGGCCTCATGCATGCATGGCAAGCGCTCTACCGCTGAGTCACCTTCCCAGCTCCTCAGTAAATATTTCTATCCCCCACTTTGAGGGTCCAGGAGAGATCCAAGTAACAGCTTTATATCCTGGTCTTACCATTGCCTGATCTCAATAGTAGGTGGATTTTTTTTTTTGGTGGGGGTTGGGGGAGGTTGGTTGTAGGGTTTGATCTCAGGGCCTAGTTCCTATCCCTGGACTTTTCTGTTCAAGGCTAACATTCTACCACTTTGAGCCACAGCTCCACTTCTGGTTTTCTGATGGTTAATTGGAGATAAGAGTCTCACCAACTTTTCTGCATGGGCTAGCTTTGAACCACAATCCTCAGATCTCAGCCCCCCAAGTAGCTAGGATTACAGGCATAAGCCACCAGTGCCTGGCTGGATTTTTTTTTCTTGCTTGGATTTATTTATTTAGGCAGTAACTGGGTGTGAACTCAGGGCTTTACACACACGCATATTTCTTTCTTGGCTGGTGCTCTATTACTTGAGCCACGCCTCCAGCTGGGCCTTTTGCTAGTGATTTTTGAGTTGGGCGTTTCCCTGTGCGCTGGGATTACTAGCACTCACTGCCACACCCCTTGTCCCTACCCATTTCTCCACAACCATTCAAACTGTATACAATGAGTGGAGATTGGAAAGAGGGTTTCTGGAATTATAAAGGGAGAAACTTTAACTTCATGACATAAGGCAATCCCCTATTCCATGGGCACCCAGCCACAAAACCCTGCCCCAAGAGATCCAGATGCACAGACTAGAAAAGCCTGATGGGAAGTGTGAAGTCCTCCAGATGTGTGCACAAATGACTGGTGGTGTTCAATCTGGGAAGCTGAGGACAATCACGTGACAGTCTCTCCTCATTGAACTTTGACGTCTTTGCCCAGGTAACTTTGTGCAGTGGATATCCTACATGCAGACCTAGGGCCTCCACTTGGTAATGCCACCCAGCTTGTCAGCAAATTGCTATGTCCTTCTGAGGAGCCCCAGGCCGAGCCAGTGCTGTATGTTTCATTCACCCTATTTCTTCACAGGCGAGATACAATTCTTGGGAGAGATAAGAGATTGAGTTGCTCGGTGGGTGTGCTATGGTTTTAATATGATGTGGAGCCCCAGCTCCTCCACGTATTAATGTGAGGTACTGGGCCTGAGACAGCTTAGGACATGAACTAGGCTTAGAAAGAAACAGCATTGTTCTCTTTCCAGCAAGACCCAGCCTGGCCTCTCTGCTTCCTCCTCGGACCTCCTGCCATTATGAGGGCATCCACTACAATGCCCCGGCCAGGCACTTACAATGTGATCCAGCCCCAGGTATTTCATGATAGTAATGGAAAACAGACTACCACAGGTTTCCCTCTCTCTCTTTTGTGCCAGTCCTGGGCTTGAGCTCAGGGACTGGGTGCTTTATCTGAGCTTTTGTACTCTAGGCTAGTGCTCTACCAATTTGAGCCACAGCTTTCCTTCTGTTTGGTGTGTGTGTGTGTGTGCTTAGTTGGAGATAAGTCTTAAATGATTTTCCTACCTAGGCCTGCTTTGAACCATGATCCTCAGATCTCAACCTCTTGAGTACCTAGGATTACAAATATAAGACACCATCACCTGACATTCATTTTTCAGAAGGGAACCAAAATAAGAATGAAACATTTTTATTTTTTCCTTCACTACTGCTGGAAGGGGTTGTCTGTATGTGATGCTTAGAAATGTGGCAGCCCTTTTGGGCTCAGCAGGCAAATGGGCCTAAGATGAGACACTGAAGGTACAGCAAGAAGATGGATGGAGTTAGGGCTCACTGAAAATGCCATCGGGCTGTAGAGTTGCCTGGAGTTGGGAGTTGAATTACTTGTAGTTCAAGGCAACTCCATGCAAAGAGATGGTGTCGTGCTGCCCAACTCAGGCCTGGGAACCCAAGGGCTGCCAGGGACAGGGTGGCTAGTTCTCCAGTAGCGGGGACAGGTCTGCCGGGATCCCCACCCACTCAGGTAGGAAGGCTGCCTCTGGCTTAAAGACCTTGAGAAAGGGGGAGTTGGGGAGGGTGTAATTGGCCAGGTAAATGGTCTCTCCACCGGCCAGGTAGGCAGCCCAGATGCCGAAGGTCCCGACAGTTATGATGGTGTGGTTGCACTGCGTGAGCAGGGCGAAGTCCTGGGTTGGCAAATGCTCATTGCCATTCCCGGCAAACACCACGTCGCCAAAGGAGGCGTTGATGTTCTCCCTGCACCAGGCCATGTCATCGCTGGTGACCAAAAAGACTGGAAAATCATAGCGAGCTTGAAACCAGTCCATGGCCTGCTTCAGGTAGTCCGGATCGGCCACCACCCCCTTCCACACATAGGGCATAAAGTGGACATAGTCTCCCCGGCGCACGTGCACCCCTACAAAGGTGCAGGGCTGGCCCCTGTCTGCTTGCAGGCCCCGCAGGAAGGCCTGGGCCTTCTCGCGCAAGTGCTCATGCAAGCTGAACTCCTGCAGGATCTCAGGGCGCAGGTGGTGGTAGAAGGTCCAGGAGCTGGGGAAGCCCCCGAAGCGCACAAAGTTGCTGGAGATGTGTCGGTAGCTCTCCTCCATCCAGTCGTTGAGCAGGTAGTTGTGCCAGGGGATCCATTGCTCTAAGGCTCTGTGCAGCACTGGGAGGCTGATCTTGAAGATGGGGGCCAGGGTGCTGTACATGTCTTCAGGGATGAAGGCCGGGCGCCCGTTCATCTTGGCCAGGGCGTACAGTGTAGCGTACTCGCCCATCTGGTTCCCCAGGCGGCCTCTCACTTTGATGGTCCAGAAGCTCAGTGGCTCGTCATTAGTGGGCTTCTTCCATGTTACCAGTGGGATCACCAACCCTGGAAATGACACCGATGTTGTCTCCTCCTGGGCATGAGTGGGGTGGACCCTCACTGGGCGCTGCTGGAAGTGGAAGATGGTGGAGGCGATGAGGATGAAGAAGACCAAGCGGGCTGTGGGGAAGGAGAAAGGAAACTTCCTGCTGCCCATGGCTGTGGAGAGGGGAGAGTGCACATTAGGTCTCACCTGTAGTAGCAAGCAGGGTGCTAGAAAGCACACCTATAACTGTGCAAACATGTGGCGTGGGTGTGTGGGAGGGCTCATCTCTGTTGTGTGTGTAAGCTCTTAACACATAGCTTTTGGCATGGATGTATGGCTGTCCAGAGTTTCTGCAGGGGTGTATTTCACAGGTGTGCGTGTGCATGGTGAGTGTGTTTGGGGGTATCTATACATTGTGTATGTACATGGGTATTTATGAAGTTCTGTGCTCACAAAGCTTTGTTACATGTACCAGGTCTGGGACTTGAACTGAAGGCCTCACACTCTTGTTTTTGCATTTTTGTCTTTTGCTCAAAGCTGGTGCTCTACCACTTAAGCCGTATTTGAGGCTGAGAATTGAGGATTGCTGTTTTTTTTTTTTTTGGTCGGCCATGGGGCTTGAACTCTGGGCTTGGGCGCTGTCCCTCAGCTCTTCAGCTCAAGGCTAGCGCTCTACCACTTGAGCCATAGCACCAGTTCCGGCTTTTTTCTTTTTGCTTATGTGGTGCTGGGGAATCGAACCCAGGGCCTCATGCATTGCAAGGCAAGCACTCTACCACTGAGCCACCTTCCCAGCCCGAGGATTGCTGTTTGAAGCCAGTCAGGGCAAGAATGTCCCTGAGACAAAATCCAATTAACCAGTAAAAATCCAGGAGTATTTGCCAAGCACCGTAGCTAATGCCTGTAATCCCAGATATAGAAGAAGCTGGGATCTGAGGTTCTTGGTTCAAAGCTAGCCAGGGAGCCAGGCATCGGTGGCTCATGCCTGTAATGCTAGCTACTGAGGCTGAGATCTGAGGATCTGAGATCTGAGGATCGTGGTTCAAGCCAGCTCTGGCAGGAAAGTCCATGATACTCTTATCTCCAATAAACCTCTAGAAGTGGCACTGTGGCTCATGTGGTTGAGCGCTTTGAGCCGAAAAGCTAAGTTTCAGCGCCCAAGTCCAGAGTTCAAGACCTACCACCGAAGGAAAAAAACAAAAAAGCTATCCAGGGCAGGAAAGTCTGAGAGACTCTTATCTCCAACTAACCAGCAAAAAGCATGAAATAGAGATGTGGCTCAAGTGGTAGAGTGCTATCTGTGAAAGAAAAGACTAAGGGACAGCACTCAGGCCCTGGCACACACACACACAAAAAAGCCAGAGGTGGAGTTGTAGGTCAAGTGCTACAAAACCAAAGCTAATGTTGGGTGAAAAAGCTAAGAGACAGTGCTCAGGCTCTGAATTCAAGTCTTAGTACTACCAAAAACATAAAAATAAAAAAATAAATGGTGCTGGGAGCCAGATGCTGGTGGCTCACGCCTGTAATCCTAGCTACTCAGGAGGCTGAGATCTGAGGATTGCAGTTCCAAGACCCGTGGGTAAAACAGTCTACCAGACTTTTTTTTTTTTTTTTTGTCAGTCATGGGGCTTGAACTCTGGGCCTTAGCACTGTTCCTCAGCTCTTTAGCTCAAGGCTAGCACTCTACCACTTGAGCTACAGCACCACTTCCGGTTTTCTGGTGGTTTATTGGAGATGAGAGTTTCATGGACTTTCCTGCGAGGGCTGACTTTGAACCATGATCCTCAGATCTCAGCCTCCTGAGTAGCTAGGATTACAAGCATGAGCCACCGGCGCCCAGCTTCTAGGAGACGCTTATCTCCAATAAACTACTCAGAAAAAGCGAGAAGTAGCACTGTGATTCAAGTGGTAGAGCACTAGTCTTGAGCACAAAGAGGCTCAGGATCAGAAAACAGGCCCTAAGTTCAAGCCCCAGGCTCCTGACTGTCCCACTCCACCCCCAAAAAAGCTGCTGGACACTAGTAGCTCATATCTTTTTTTTTTTTTTGTCGGTTGTGGGGCTTGAACTCTGGGCCTGGGCGCTGTCCCTCAGCTCTTCAGCTCAAGGCGAGCGCTCTACCACTTGAGCTACAGCGCCACTTCCAGTTTTCTGGTGGTTTATTGGAGATAGGAGTCTCACGGTCTCTCCTGCCCGGGCTGGCTTTAACCTCGATCCTCAGATCTCAGCCACCTGAGTAGCTAGGATTACAGGCATGAGCCACCAGCGCCCGGCTTAGTAGCTCATATCTTTAACCTTAGCTCCTCAGAAGGCTGAGATCTGAAGACCATTGTTCATATCCAGCCTGGATATAAGACTAAATTTCTATCTCTAAAATAGCCAGGAAAATGCCAAACTGTAGGCACAGCTCAAAATGTTAAGAGTGCCAGCTGTGACTGAAAAACGCACAGGGCTCTAAATTCAAGCCCTAGTAAAAAGCTAATAATAATAACAATAATAACAATAGCTGGGTGCCAGTGGGACATGCCTCTATTCCTAGCTACTCAGGAGGGTGAGATCTGGGTTGGCAGTTTGAAGCTAATGACAGGAAAGTCTGCAAAATGCTAATCTCCGATAAACTACTCAGAAAAAGGTGGAAATAGCACTATGGCTTAGAGTGGTAGAGTGCTTTGTGTCTCTATTCCTTGAGCAAAAGGAGCTGAAGGACAGAGCCTCAGGCCCATGGTTCAAGTCCTAGGATCAACAAAATATAAAAATAAAATAATGAAAAAAAATAAAATAATAATGAGGGCTTGAGAATTTGGGGAAAAGAGAGTAATACAGAGAATTATTGTAATTAAAACATAATAAATGCCTTTGTGACATAACGATGGTGAAACCCCTTGGTACAATTAATCTGTACTAAAAAATGAAACAAAAAACCCAAACCAAATACGTAAGGTGAGTAGAGCACAGTAGTGCCAGGGATGGGTACTGGTACCGCTGGTTTTGGGTGTCCTCAGTGGGCAGAGCTCCTTCTCCTGGCAACTCTTCTGGCTCCTTGACCACAACAGGAAAACCAACCACTTCTGCAGCTCCTTTGGGGGTCAGGAGAGAGATGACTCAGCACAAAATGGCCACAGCTTTATCATGCAGGTGCTGAATCTAGGGGCTTTTATATCCTGGGCTGGGCTCTGATTGGTTGCCCCTATGCAAATGAGGTATATGACAACTGACGAATCAGAGAAGAGCCACTGAGTGATGGTGGGCTACAGAACTCAGGCTGTAGTTCTCAATTAGGTCTGCCTCCAGGATTCTGTAGAACAGGGAGGATGTGGGTGGGGCGCGGGTGCGTGTCTTTTCTGGACAGCCAGGATTTTGAATCTTGCACTTTCTGTAGGTTTTTGTTTTTGTGTGTCAGTCCTAAGGCTTGAACTCTGGACCTGAAGGCTGTTTTTTGGGCTTTTACTTGTTCAAGGCTAGCACTTTACCACTTGACCCACAATTCTACTTCTGGAATTTTGGTGGTTAACTAGAGAGGAGAGTCTCATAGTTTTTCCTTTGCTGGGCTGGCTTTGAACTACCTCAGATCTTGCCTGTTGCGGATGAGTCTGACTGATAACTGGGCAGTGAGTATGGAGACACCTGTCCTTTTTTTCTTTCTCACTCTCATTTCTTTTCACTTTCTTACCGAGTTGGGCCACCACCTCTGCCAGACTATTCCACTGAAGGGGGCCATGGGGAAGGAGAAGGGCATGCGTGTGCTGCCCATGGCTGTGGGGGAGGGGAGTGAGCACACGTGAGTGCTAGCCATGCAGCAGTAACCAGGGTTGTGGGAATACACCACTGTGGGTAGGTAGGAGTGCCCCTCTGTTGTGTAAATACTTGGCACCTGACTTTTACTACGCATCTAGGGCTCTCCAGTGTTCACACAGGTAAATGCTTCCTTGTTGTCACTTCTATGGGTGTGTGCATAGTTACACTGCTATCCACACAGTGTGAGCATACATATGTCTCTGGGAAGCTGTGTACTCACAAAGCTTGTAGTTTCTTTTTGAGACAGGTTCTAACTTTTCTCTGGTGGCCAGGGACTCACAATCCTACTACCTCTGTCTCTGGAAATACAGGAGTGGACTGCCACTCCTGACCTGAACAGAACACTGGTTTCTTTTGTCCCTGCTCTACAAGAGAAATTGTTTTCAGGACTGGGATGGTTGCCCAGAACACACGGGACTCCTGAAGCTGTTGATGAAGCAAAAGCATGACTCACCTGATGATAGAGACCTTAGCCAAGTAGATTATACAGTGAAATAGATAACTAGGTGACTTCCAACAATAGTTCATAGTCTCCTGTGGGAGAAATCAAACTTCCCAGTGGTGGTTGTGCAACAGTGGCTGCTGGGCTGTGTAGCACAGCTGTCAAAAACAAAATGGGGGAAAGCAAGGGTAACTTGGGCAACACAGCCACACACAGGCTATTTGTTTCTTTGAAAAAATGATTTGGGGATCACATTGTCTAAAAAAAGAAATGTACTTGGCTAGGAATGTGGCTTAGTGGTAGAATGCTTGCCTGGCATTCAATTCCTCACTGCCACATACACAGAGAAAGTTGGAAGTGACACTCTGGCTTAAGTGGTAGAGTGCTAGCTTTGAGCCAAAGAACCTCAGAGACAGTGCCCAGGCCCTGAGTTCAAGCCTCAGGACTGGCAAAAATAAAAAGAAAGAAAACAAATGTACTAGCTAGGCTAGTGAGCTGGTGGCTCACTCCTGTAATCCTAGCTACTCAGGAGGCTGAGATCTGAGGATCATGGTTCAAAGCCAGCTGGGGCAGGAAAGTCCCTGAGAATCTTATCTCCAATAAACCAGAAGTGATGGTGTGGCTTAAGTGATAGAGCACTCACCTCGAGCTGAAGAGCTGCGGGACAGCACCCAGGCCCACAGTTCAAGACCCATGACCGACAAAAAAGAAAGAAAAAAAGAAAGGTACTCATTACTTATAAAATGGTAGTTTCTCTGTTGAACACTTTAATAATAATAGTAATTTTTTTGGTTTGTCAGTTGTGTGGCTTGAACTCTGGACCTGGCCGTGTCCCTGAGCTCTACCCCTTTGAGCCACATTGTCTCTTCCAGTTTTCTGGGGGTTTATTGGAGATAAGAGTCTCACAGACTTTCCTTCCAAGGCTGGCTTTGAACCCCAATCCTAGGACCTCAGCCTTCTGAATAGCTAGAATTACAGGTATAAGCCACCAGCGCCTGGCCTTTTTTTTTTTTTTTTGGAAAATGTGGGGCTTGAATTCTTGCCTGGGCGCTGTCCTTCAGCTCTTCAGCTCAGGGTAAGCACTCAATCACTTGAGCCACAACACCACTTCCAGTTTTCTGGTGGTTTAGAGTCTCACAGACTTGCCTGCCTAGGCTAGCTATGAATCATGATCCTCAGATCTCAGCCTCCTGAGTTGCTAGGATTATAGGTGTGAGCCACCAGGGCCCAGTAAGGCTGAGCTTCTTGAAGAACTTTATTCAGGAGAATCAACAGCCAGGGGAAAAGTTTACAGTTGCTCTGCTTTACAGTGGCTTGAATCTAGGGGCTTATATACCCTGGGCTGGGCTCTGATTGGTTGGTGCTATGCAAATGAAGTATAGCACAACTGACCAATCAGAGATGATCTTCTGAGCCACTGTGGGTCTGTAGAACTAAAGTTTTCAATTAGGTGTATATTTCTTAGGACCCTTTCATCTCCAAAATGAAAATTATGTAGAACTAGGACATGTATTCTCTGACATTGGGAGTTTTGAAACAATCTTACATTTTCTCAAGTCTTCTCTCCCATATGGACAAGCCAGCTTTGTCTTCCACTGTAAGATGTTTTACTGGGGTCCTAAGTAATCTACCAAACTTTTCAATTTAATGTACCCTTTCAGTACTAGGAGAATGAAACCACAACAGTGAAATTGAGATTGATTTTCTGTATCATTGTGTTGTGTTGTTTTGTTTGTAGTGTTTTTTGTTTTTGTTTTTTTTGGTTGTGGGGCTTGTACTCTGGGCTTGGGCCCTATCCCCAAGCTCTTCAGCTCAAGGCTAGTGCTCTACCACTTTGAGCCACAGCGTCCCTTCTGGTTTTCTGGTGTTTAATTGGAGATAAGAGTCTCACAGACTTTCCTTCCAGGGTTGTCTCTGAACCGTGATCCTTAGATCACAGCCTACTGAGTAGCTAGGATTACAGGCATGAGCAACCAGCACTCAGCCTGAAGCTTATTTGAAAGATGAAATCCATTGAACTTTTCTACCTGGGCTGGCTTAAACTGTGATCCTCAGGTCTCAGCCAGCTGGGTAGTTTGGATTGTAGGTGGGAGCCACATTGTTTGAAAAGGAGAATTATATAATGTAGAGTGATGGAGGGGTGAGGTTGATGGAGTATATGTACACATGTACAGTAGTGTCACAATGAAATCTCATTGCACACGTCAGGTATTTTTCTTCCTTTTTAATTCTTTTTTTTTTCTTTTTTTTTTGGTCGGTCATGGGGCTTGAACTCTGGGCCTGAGTGCTGTCCCTCAACTCTTCAGCTCAAGGCTAGCGCTCTACCACTTGAGCACCACTTCCGGTTTTCTGGTGGTTTATTAGAGATAAGAGTTTCACAGACTTTCCTGCCCGGGCTGGCTTTGAACCGTGATCCTCAGATCTCAGCCTCCTGAGTAGCTAGGATTACAGGCGTGAGCCACCAGCGCACAGCCTTTTAAATTCTTTTTGTGTGCAGGTTACAGGGGCTAGGGAGTTTGGTGACATGAGAGTTTGGGTTCAGGGCCATAAGATTGTGAGAAGGTATGGTACTGCTGAACCATGCTCCCAGCCCTGTTCTTTGCTGGCTACTTTGGAGATTCAGTTTGGCTTCTTGCCTGGGCTGCAGTCAGCCTACATCAGCCTTTGTGTCCATGCTGGGGTCACAGGCATTGGCCAATACCCTCCTCAGGCCTGGGAACCCAAGGGCTGCCAGGGACAGGGTGCCTAGTGCTTGAGTAGCGGGGACAGGTCTGCCGGGATCCCCTCCCACTCAGGCAGGAAGGCTGCCTCTGGCTTAAAGAACTTGAGGAAAGGAGACTGGGGGAGCGTGTAATTAGCCAGGTAAATGGTGTCTCCACCAGCCAGGTAGGCAGCCCAGATGCCAAAGGTCCCGATGGTCATGATGGTGTGGTTGCACTGCGTGAGTAGGGCAAAGTCCTTGCCTGGTGAGCCTTCCATGCCATTGCCAGCAAACACCACGTCCCCAAGAGAGGTGTTGATGTTGTCCTTGCACCAGGCCATGTCGTTGCTGGTGACCACAAACACTGGAGATTCGAACCGGGCTCGAAACCGATCCATGGCCTGCTGCAGGTAGCCCCGATCGGCCACCACCCCTTTCCACACATGGGCCATAAAGTGGACATAGTCTCCCCGGCGCACATGCACCCCTACAAAGGTGCGGGGCTGACTCCCATTCACACGCAGGCCCCGCAGGAAGGCCTGGGCCTCCTCACGCACGTGCTCGTGCAAGCTGAACTCCTGCAGGATCTCAGGGCGCAGGTGGTGGTAGAAAGTCCAGGAGCAGGGTGTACCTGTAAAGCGCACATAGTGGCTGGTGATGTTCCGGTGACGCTCCTCCATCCAGTCGTTGAGGTGGTAGTGGTGCCAGGGGACCCCGCGCTCCGTGATGACATCCAGTGTTGGGAGGCTGATCCTAAAGATGGGGGCCAGCATGCTGTGCATTGGAGCAGGGATGAAGGCCTGGTGTCCGTTCATCTTGGCCAGGGCATAGAGCGTGGCGTACTCACCCATCTGGTTCCCCAGGCGGCCAATGGAGTTAATGGTCCACATGTCCAGCTGGGCACGGCTTGTGGGCTTCCTCCACTCTGCTCGGGTCTCTGTGACTGGATGAGACACCCATATCTGCTCATCTTGCCTCACTAGTCGTTTCTGGATGTGGAAGAGGGTGGAGGCGATGAAGATGAAGAGGATGGTGTGTGCCAGGGGGTAGAAGAAAGTCCTCTGTGTGGTGCTGCCCATGGCTGTGGGGGAGGGGAGAGCACACATTAGGTCTTGAGCAGCGGTCAGCCATGTGGAATGCATGAGTGCCCTTGTAGAGATCGGTGGTGATGAAAATAGAGACCAAGACAAGGGGCCAGGTGCTCCTGGCTCAGGCCTATAATCCTACCTGAAGGACTAAACTCCATCCTATGACCCCAGGTGTATATGAATATAGTTCACTTTCATCAACGTCTGCTGTAGCTAGTATGTTAACTTTGATTCCTAATAAGTTCAAGGTAAGCCCTGCTTAAAAGTTATTTCTATTGATCTACTTGTTGCTTCAGTTGGAGTAAGGATCTGTTGTCAATGATTCATTTGAGGAACTGGGAAGATAGCTCAGTGGTAGGAGTGCTTGCCTTGCATGCATGAGATTCTAGGTTCAATTCCTCAGCACCACATAAGCAGAAAAAGCCAGAAGTGGTGCTGTGGCTCAAGTGGTAGAGTGCTAGCCCTAAGCTGAAGAGCTAAGGGACAGCGCCCAGGCCCAGAGTTCAGGCCCCATGACTGACACACAAAGAAAGCAAGAAAGCATGAAAGAAAAAAAGAAAAGAAAAGAAAGACTCATTTGATCTGGGGACTGTGGTGAGACTCTTGTCTCTAATTATCCAGCACAGTGCTAGAAGTGGTGCTGTGGCTGACATGATAGAGCATTAGCCTTGGGATAGAGAGCTGAGGCCAATGGAGCATTATTCCAGCATGGAGAAGACACTCCTGGGACAAAGCGTGTCCTGCCAATGATGGAGCATCCAGTTAGTTGGAAGACACCGCTCAGATAAGAGGGATGGTGTCACTTGTACTGGGCACTTGAAATGGAATCAGAGCCAGGAGATAAAAAGAAAATAATTTACAAGCCTGTCTGTCTAATATCCATGTTTGTCTACTTTGTAAATGAGGAGGAACTTACAGTCTTGCCTGTCAGTCATTTAAAACTAGGGCTGGACTGGGTATGTGGCTTAGTGGTCAACTGCTTGCCTACCATGTCTGAAGCCCAGGGTTTGATGCCTCATTAGCACACAAAAAAGAAAAAGCTACAAGCTGCTCTGTGGCACAAGTGGTACAAGGCTAGCCTTGAGCTGGAGAGCACAGGGACAGTGCCCATGCCCAGAGTTCCAGCCCCACTGACCAAAAAAAAAACAAAAAAAGAAACAATTGACCCCACAGTAAATGTATTTCACATTCTCACCAGACAGTGAAGGCCGAGCCTCTTGAAGAACTTTATTCAGGAGATTCAACTGCCAGTGGGAAAGATTGCAGCTCCTCTGCTTTCCAGTGTCTTGAGTCTAGGGGTTTATATACCCTGGGCTGGGCTCTGATTGGTTGGTGCTATGCAAATGAAGTATAGCAAAATTGGCCAATCAGAGACAATCTTCTGAGTCATTGTGGGTCTATAGACCTAAAGTTTTCAATTAGGTGTGTATTTCCCAGGCCCCTTTCACCTCCAAAATGAAAATTATGTAGAATTAGGACATGTATTCTCTGACATTGGGAGTTCTCAAGTCTTATTTCCCCATATGGACAAGCCAGCTTTGTCTTCCACTATAAGATGTTTTACAGGGATCCTAAGTAATATACCAAGCTTTTCAATTTAATGTACCCTATCAGGAGAATGAAACTACAACAGTGAAATTGAGATTGATTTCCTGTATGTGTGTGTGTTGTTGTTTTGTTTAGACAGTATTAGGATTTGAACTCAAGGCTTTATACCTGATTTGCTTGTTTGGTTCATGACTGATGCTCTAACTCTTGAGCCACATCTCAAGACTGACTTTTTGTTTTGTTTTTTGTTGGTCACAGGGCTTGAACTCTTGGCCTGGGTACTGTCCTTCAGCTCTTCAGCTCAAGGTGAGCACTCTACCACTGAAGTTACAGCATCACTTCCGATTTTCTGGTAGTTAATTGGACATAAAGAGTCTCACGGACTTTCCTCCCTGGGAAATCTCAGCATACTTAGCAGCTAAGATTACACGTGTGAGCCACCGGCGTCTGGCAGGGCTAAGCTCCTTTTTTTCTTTTTCTTGCCAGTGCTTAGCCTGGGCACTGTCCCTGAAATCTACAGCTCAAGGATAGTGCTCTACCACTTTAAACCATGCCCCCACTTCTGGGTTTCGGGTGGTTAATTGGAGATAAGTCTGAGGGACTTTCCTGCCCGGACCAGCTTTGAATTGTGATACTCAGATCTCAGCCTCCTAAATAGCTAGGATTACAGGCATGAGTGTCCTGCACCTGGCCCAAAGCTTATTTTAAAAATGGAGTCCAGGACTGGGAAGGTGGTATAGTGGTAGAATACTTACCTTGCATGAGTTTGATTCCTCAGCACCACATGAGCAGAAAAAGCCAGAAGTGGCGCTACGGCTCAAGTAGTAGAGCACTAGCTTTGAGCTGAAGAGCTCAGGGACAGTGCCCAGGCCCAGAGTTCAAACCTCGCAACTGGCAAAATAAATAAACAAATAAGAGTCCATTGAACTTTTCTACCTGGACTGGTTTTGAACTGTGATCCTCCAGGTACCAGCCTACTGGGTAGTCTAGATTATAGGTGGGAGTCACGTTGTTTGAAGATAATTATATAATGCAGAGTGATGGAGGGATAAAGTTGATAGAGCATATGTACACATGTACAGGAGTGTCACAATGAAATCACCCTTGCAAAAGTCAGTTATTTTTCTTCCGGTTTTATTCTTTTTGTGTGCAGGTTACAGGGGCTAGGGAATTTGGTGACACGAGGGTTTGAGTTCAGGGCCATGCGATTGCAAGATTGGTATGGTACTGCTGAGCCATGCTCCCAAGCCCTGTTCTTTGCTGGCTACTTTGGAGATCCAGTCTGGCTTCTTGCCTGGGCTACATTCAGCCTACATCAGCCTTTGTGTCCATGCTGGGGTCACAGGCATTGGTCAATGCCCTCCTCAGGCCCGGGAACCCAAGGGCTGCCAGGGACAGGGTGCCTAGTGCTTGAGTAGCGGGGACAGGTCTGCCGGGATCCCCTCCCACTCAGGCAGGAAGGCTGCC